GGCCCTAGCGTGGCTAGAGCACCGGTGTGCCGGCTACTTTATGGAGTGGGAACTGGTAGCAGCAAAAGCAGACTCATGGCTGCGCTGTCAGAAGCTGCCCGAGGGACTGGACATGGCAGGGCTTAAGGGAGCAGCCAGACAGCTGTTCCTGCTGCTGCGCCACTGGGATGAGAACATTCAGCTGAACATGCTGTGTTATAACCCCAATAATATGTGAGACAATTATCTCAGAGGAAACCAAACCAACTCTGATTGTTAGCATTCTCACCATTTCCCAATGATAGTGACTCTAAATGCCTTTACATGGAAAAATCCTGTTTTATTAACTTAGGCAGTGCCAAGTTCATTCTAATACTACATGCCATAGACCAGGGGGCCTTTTATGATCAGTGTGCTTTATGCAATCACAAATATGCCTTTATCATCTAAATGGGCTTTTTGTAGTCTAGCTTTTAGTTTGCAGCCAGTATAATATACTACTATACCAAATATGTAATGACAGTTACTGTAAAATGAAGATTTTGATTATCAAGATGATTATTTGATAAATTAAACAAAGATGAGCTTTAAACAGTGAAATGATTGTTGGTAAAAATAATTAAAAAAACACACTAAAATTCAACCATTTGTTGTATTGTGTAACAATGAAGACCACACGGGTTTAGTAGAATCCATTTGCCGTTTCAGTCTACTGCATGTTTCTCACATTAAATCCATCTATGAGTGTGGCCACTCACAACAGAGGATGACAAGTTACAGAAATCAGACAAACAGACTGATTGTCCACAGCTGACTTTTACACATTTGTGTAAAATAACAAATAACATCCCCTTCGATAGAGAATACTTATGTTTCATAACTGTGGCAGAGGAAATGCCACAAGCTTACGCTTGCTATGCAGTTATTTTAAAGCTTGGTGTTCAAGTTCTTATCCACATTATTGACACTTTCAATATACGATCATCTGAGCACCAGTAAATAAAAACTTGAGATGATATCAGCCTACATGACTAGACCAGAGGAATTATGAACTGAGTGTAGTTGTACCACAGTAAGTGGGAATATAGCCCATGTAATCAATTCTTTCCACACAGCATAACATCCATGACATTCTCATAGCCTCCACTCTTCTTATTTTCTATCTAAAACTAAACCTGAGAATTCTTATTTTCTCTTCTTATCTCTGCAACTGCATATTATTCCATCATGTGGGCATCAGTCTGCACACACATTATGCATCCTTCACTTTAAGCAGTGAGAAGCTTTAAATGGCTCCTTTAATTCACTTATAAACAGTCTACCACAGCGACCGCCCTTTGCACTGGTGCTGTCAGGATCAAAGACAGGAGGATGGAGCGGGCTTGTCGTCAGCTGATTCGGCCAAATAATACTTCTGGTCCGATCAGGCCGGGGCTCAGTGGCGTTTGTCCTTAACAGCTTTCTGCTCTTGTGTTTCTGCTGCAGCTGAAAGCAAAGGTGGAGCTAGCCAGAGACATAACAGGATGATGAGGTGACAGACGTGAAGGGCAGCTGAGCTGCTGTTAGTAGAGGGATAGGTGTTCCACGAAAGCTCGATCAGACCCAGGATCAGGACCCTGCATGCAAAAATAAAACAGTTTTTCATTAAGATGTGGCAGAGTGTTCAGGGAGGTGCTATGCTTCAGGACTTATGATTCTGTCTCACCTGAGCAGATGGGCCAGCTTCTTGACACCTCCACTCCACAGCAGGTAAGGCAGTGAGTGGAAGTACCAGACGTAAAACTGGTAGTGCAATGAGCGACTGAAGCACATGCCGATGAAGTTAGAGGTGAACAGAATCAGCACAATCTGTGATTTTCAGATAAGGACAAAAAAAAGGCATATCTGGAAGATCATAAGAAAAAATCTGCTAAGCATTGTTTTACCATGTCCCATGTCCTGTAAAGAGAATGTTCAAAGCAAAGCTATTTCAGGTGCTCACTTGTCACCGGGTTTCCCACAACAGGTAGCACCACAAGTTTTTCTGATTTTGCAGAGTTTTGGAAAAGAAAACCTTCTTTTTCCTGTGACTCTATGTCTGTCTCCTCTTGAATACAGTGAAACTTTAAGCGCTAAGTTTTTGGTTCTCTGTCCAGAAATCTTGACCCAGTTACTCAAAATAATTAAGATCCACAAATCTTGCTGAGAGGAGTTTTCTGTATGATTTTTTTCATTCTGTCAACAAGGCCTGCAGATTCATATTAACATCTAACAACAGACTTACAGAAAAATATTTTTCACATTAAAGACAGGAGTAGAACAAAAGGATATGATCCACAGTGCTTTTCTGAGCTGGGATTTTCCTCTTGCCTGGTTCCTTTAGAAGTTCAAAGATGCTTTCTCCTGGTCTGGTGCCACAGAGAGAATATGGTTATTTGCCATTTTAGAGATCTAGGAGGTACGTGTGTATTAGTAAAACATATAACTTTAAAAAAAGGTTTCCGCTGCTGACTGATGAGAACCCTGAAATACCAACAACCATTTAGTGCTGTTACTAGAAATCAATTGCATTTCCCTGTGGCCTAAATGTCTCTGCTGAGTATAAAGTAGTGACAATCCTGCTGAAATTGCCTTCCATTTTTTCATGACACCTTGTTGCATTGTCATAATGACGTGGTTTTGATCAGTATGTTATCATGCAAAGCATTTATAAATGTAAAAAGAAAACAAAGAGTTTTCAAGGGTCCACTAGTTGCTTACAAGCTAAAGCATGTGGTACTGTGACTGTAACCCTCAGTTTTGTTTTTCCCCCCAGAATCCCTGGTTTTGTTCCCAGTGTATCCCTGGCACATTCAAAGTCTATCTCACCTCTTCCAGCGGCGGAAGGCAAAGAGCAGCAGGGTGAGCAGATGAGCGGCCAGCAGGAGTAAGTGGAAGTAGCGATTCAAAAAGAGCCATTCTGGCAGGAAGCGCCAGTTGACCGTCCACTTGAACATGAACTGGCGGCCAAGATCAAAGGCGCGGCTCATGTAACTAACGGGATTCTCTAGGAGGAAAGGGAGCCCCAACACAACCTGCCACATAAGATAAAGAAAGAGATGATGATAGCAAAATACAGTCATTTGCTAAAATTTACTGTGGACAGAGTACTACAGTCAAGCTGTACCTGTTTTTATGTGTATATTTACCTGTATGCCTGCACACAGCGATAACTTGGGGATCGTCTTCATTAGACCAAACTCTGACAGGAGGAGGAAAAGTAATCCAGGGGCAAAGAGAAGCACGTTCATTTTCACAGATACTGCTAAACTGTCAGAAAGAGGAAAAGATTGAGTTGTAATTTCATCTTGTTACTCTCAGGAAAAATTAACAATGACAATGTAGAAGGTATGTAACACATTAAAGATGTACAGGTGCCACTTGTTGATTTAGGGAAAGCCAATAAATGAGTATCCGCTTTAAAGACGAGTGCACACTTGCCTGTAGAGGCCACAGCCCAGAGTCCAGTATCCATCTATGAAGAGATTGACAGCTGCAAACAGCAGCATCATGGCCACTGGGTCATTAAAGAGACGGAGCACAAAGATGGAGTGGATCCGATAGGATGCACAGCACACGAAGAAGAACACATAGGGAGGAACCTGGAGAAAAAAAAGGAGATTTAATTATTTGTGAGATTAATTATTAGAAGAAATGCTAAAGAGATTAATTCTGCAAGTGGCTCAGAAAAAGAAGAGCTGCAAGCAGAGGAAAAGGGAGGTCTCAGTATTTTTGTGGTTCTGGCCCTGGAACCCAGAACCAGATATGCAACAGAAAACTAATAAATTAATGTGTGAGAATATTCTGAAAATAACATTAAATTTTGTTTCTGTAGGGTATAAAAGTTGAATTGCACACAAGGATACGCCCATGTTTCAATGAGCATTTTAGCAAAATGACATGCTGCTTAATATATAGGGTTCCTGGCACATTAGTATTAACATTAGGCTCACCTTTTTGGTGTGATAGTATATTCTGAAGACAAGCAGCAGTGTGAGGAGGTAGAAAAAAGCAAAAATGTACTGGCCCAGACGGATGTTCACCCCATGGCCGGTAATGTAGTAGAGAGCTGTGAAGATGTAGACGAACCCAGCTGGGTACCTACAACAACAGTGTTCCAAATTAACTAGGAGATCTGCACTGAACAGCGTGGTATGGAGAGAACTACATCATTTTGAAACTCACACCAAAGGGCCTGTGTCCCCTTTCAGCTGGGTGTAGTCATAGGTGCCATTGATAACTCCTTCCACTTCATCCATGTATGCTTTCCAGTCGATCTCAGTGTCTGCAGTACATAATAATATTAATAATAATGATGATGTGGATGTGAATATCTTGATGCATGCTCAATAGTCATGCTCAGTGATGACTATAGGTTTTGGAAAAGACAACTCAACCAGAACAAACAATCAATTTAAGAAGGAGAAAATATTATTGGTATTTTTCTGCTGCAGTTCCATAAGTCTTGTATGTGGACGTGTAAAAAGTGAGCAGTTACTATGTCTTTAGAAGTTTACTTCTTGTATTTACTATTGAAACAGCTATCTTTGGTTGTATATAGTCTTAAAAGTAATGGACGTTATTTGACGTTGGGAGAGAGTAAACCATTGTATTTGGTCATGCAGTGACAGTAAATTCCCTTTGACAGGTGGCAGGCTAAGCTAATACTTTTCTGACGCTAGCTACTTAGCCTTCAGCCGCGTTCAGATAAACGTCAAAATACAATAGCGTGCTAACTAGTCGGCCAGCTACTTACATGCTACTTTCTGTATGACCCACACATTGATGCCGATCTCCAGGAACCACAAAACTGAAACCACCAGCAAGGTGTATTCCGTCTTGAACAAGAGCAAATACTTGTCCTGCCAAAGCGTATGGAGTTTCCCCCACAGCGGGGACGGGGAAACGGGAGACTTTCTCCGCACACCTCCAACTCCTGCCATGTCCGCGGCGTAGCGACGTGTACGCTGAGGCCGTAACTGACGCATGCGCCCAGACTTCGTCACGTGACAATTCTGTCACCGCACGTCAGCTACACGGTTCTGCAGAGTGAATACTGGGAAGGTTTCGTTTCCTTTACAGGTATAAAAAACAAACTTATTATTAGTTCTAATTCTTTTTGAAATATATGTGTTTTATAAACGTATAAGTGTTTCTTATATGACTGTTTAAAAAAATCTTTAGAGGTCACTGGAGCCATGGCAACGTTAGCTGGCTAGCAGCTAACTTTGTTGTAGGGAAAACGATCAGGAGAATAACAGCATGTAAACATGTTTTAAAAGGCACAGCAAAGAAATGACACTTCAGACAATGGAAATACATTTTATTCAAGCTTTCCAACAAATAACGCGTGACTGCAGCTTGTGGAAGTTTTGATTTTAATGTCAGAGTGATCAAGAACAGCTTAAGTGTCCAAAATCATTTTCCTTCATATTATGGAGTCACATTTGTTTGTTTGCTTTTCCCATTTTTATTTGTTCTCCAACTTTCTCTAACTCTTACCTTAATAAGCTGGTTTGTCTTTTCTGTCATATTCTATTATATTTTTGAGCTCCTGAGTCACTTTGCTGTACGCTGCATCCTGATGTTTTTGCAGCTGGACACCAGAAATAAATTTCATAGAGAAATTGTTGGAATAAATATGTCCTGTGCCTTTGATCAGACCAGAGAGAAATTTAGCAGTCTCATTGGCATCATTTTAAAATTCAATCGAAGCAGTTATGCAGCTGTTAATAATTTATTGTTTCTTATGGTATTTCAACATAACCTTGTCTGTGCGTGGTGGCATTTTGTTCTGTTTGATTTTTGTATTATAATGTGTGTATGAATGATATAGATTGTGTATGTCATTGGGATGGGCATTGCTAACCAGCTTGGGCTATGAATGTTGTGGTATATTGCCTGGTTTATGTAACACACTTCGTCCTATGTAAAAATATGTTGAGGAAGCACACAGTAAAGATGCACAGATGTAGTAAAGGACGACATGCACAGGGCTCATGTAACAGATATGGATCTAGGGAGGTAGCTAATCTGCTGTGGTAACAATAATAATAATAATAATGGATTGGATTTATATAGCGCTTTTCAAGGGACCCAAAGCGCTTTACAATACCACTATTCATTCACTCTCACATTCACACACTGGTGGAGGCAAGCTACAGTTGTAACTACAGCTGCCCTGGGGCAGACTGACAGAAGCGAGGCTGCCATATCGCACCATCGGCCCCTCTGGCCAACACCAGTAGGCGGTAGGGTAAAGTGTCTTGCCCAAGGACACAACGACCAGGACAGAGAGCTCGGGGATCGAACCAGCGACCTTCCGGTTACAGATGCGCTTCCCAACTCTTGAGCCACAGTCACCCCTGTAACCCCTAAAGAGAGCAGCTGAAAAACGAGGAAGACTACTTGTTGCTAGCTTTTTATCAACATTAATCCCATATTTTTATTTTGCAGCGTGAAAACAAAAGACATGCTGGTAAGTCTGTATTAGAAGAAAAATAATGTTCCTCTTTATCACAAAAGGCTGCAGTGCAAAATGTATGGCAGATAATTAACACTGTACATAGTTAGAGGCTATATTATCAGTTCCTTTGTTATGTCCCACACGTACCTCAAATCAGCCAGTAATCACTGCCACATAGTGTAGGCACATCAAAGCATGTCACAACATAGCCATGACCCCCCCAGCTGTGGGTTTACAGACAGGTGATTCTTCTTCTTCTTCTTTTATGTTTGTGCAGGTGCTCTTGGAGCCGTTACAGGAGACACAGGGCCAATGGAAGGATTCTTCGTGACAATTTCAGAGGCAGCGTGTCTTGGAGTGAGCCTTGCTCTCTCAGGCGTCTCCTTCTACCTATATAAGAAGAGCCGAACAACAATAGACAAACTCAACGTGAGTTGTTAATTTTGTGTAATTAGCTTTATTGGAAGACTAAACCTCTAAGAAGCTTCTACTTCAAATCCCTCATTAGAGATTACAGCTCATATGTTTTTGATGGAAGAGTTAAGGTCCCTTCTCAGATGTTAGTAATTTTTTCAGAGATGTGAAGAATTAATCTGGGTAGAGAAATAACACAACGGGATGTGGAGTAGTTTAAATGTATAAGGTTAGCCATATATCACAGTAACATTTAGTTTATCTTCACCATATTGCATTAGACACTGTAAAAACAAACTTGCATCGCTGTTATAAAGCTGTAGGTGAGAACAGTGAGCACATCTGTGGCTACATTGCACTAAAAAGTTAAGATGGAGAATTTGGACAAAAATGCAAAAATTTGGCATTCTGAGAATAAAAACAAAATGTCAAGAATAAAACTGAAATAGTATTTTGAAGGAAAAAAAAATCAAACTTGTGAAGTGTTGGCTCCATTTGTGCAAGAAGAAATAGTGGCAATGGACAGATGCAAGGGGGTGTTGCATCAGAAGATCAGGCTGCAACTGACATTTCACAGATGAAGGTGTGAGACATTTAAAGAATGACCATTTTGTGTAAAGTTTTATTCTGTACTTCTGAAACCCGTCGTCCTTTTTATTCAGTTTTTAGCTGAGCTTACGTTGTGCACTTTTAGTCTTTCTGTGTTTCTTGATTACATCCTGATTGTTCTTTTAGCTCATGCCATTTGCATTTGATGTAAATCCATGAGGATCTTTTAGGGACATATCTTTTCTTTTTCCTCAAACTAAACTGGTTCTTTTGAAAGATTTACTATTACAACCAGTCATTTGTAGAATTAATAGCAACACTGTGATTGCTAGCACTGCACAGAAAAGTACCCATTTACAGCGAGCTGATTAACGCACACCAAAGACATAAAACCACTGGGAAAGCAAATGCATGACTTATTAATTAGTTAGTCTTATTTACTGTGTGTGCTCCATGTTTCCAGAATGCTCCACGGTTACCCATAGATAAAACACTCAAGGACATCTTGAAAGTTACTCCAGGAGCGTGTCTACGGTATGTCGTCATTGAAGGTAATCAGTCTTTTGTTTGTTTTTGATAAGGACTAGTACATTTATTTATTTTTTTAATCTGAAAACTTGTACACCGGCCTGCCTCTCATTCCCTGTTACTGTATGTGTGCTCGTATACATTTTAGGTGGTGTAAAACCAGCTGGAAAGCCTCTCATTAGTTGGCACAACAAAGAAAATGTTGGTGTGCTGCGTAGATTCATGGTGAAAGAACACAGGCTGTTGTGGAACGGATTTTTACGTACATGGTGAGAACATCATCAGATCAAGCTGAAGTTCCGGTACATCTAACATTTTCTCCTTATTATCAGATATGCAAACTGTTTCTCACGTTACCTTTGCAGGACAGATAATGAACGACTCTTGCACGAAAACATAGAGGCGGTGCCCTTTTTATTAGTGGGACTGGATAATACCGAAATCAGAGTCTTGTCGCCTTTACAGGCCACTGGGCTGGACATGGAGGTCACATATGAGAAATTTCACCAGGTCAGTCACAGTTTGGGTGACCTCATGGGACAGTACTTTACTGGGGAGAAGCCAAAAGGTCAACTGGAGATCGAGGAAATGCTCAAAGTAAGTCATTCTATTCAAACTTGAATGAATTAGTGTTCACTTCATAAAGCCCAATTTGTTGTCAATATTAAAAATATATTCTTATTGATAAGTGCCACACCTTTTTTTCAAGGTGGGGACAAATCTTACAGGTGTAGGCGAGTTGAATCTGGACACAGATGGCACTCTGAGTCTCCGACCCCCTTCTAACGGTTCACAGTACTTCCTGACCCCAGCGGACTTCGACACCCTGCAAGGGGAGAATGAAGACATCGCTTTTTGGTGGAAAGTGCTGGCCATTACTTCTGCTTTGGCAGGGGCAGCAATCATTTTCTGGGCCGGGTTACGCTACTACCGCCACCTTAAGGCTCTCAGGGACCAGGAACGGGAAAGAAGGGAATTTAACAGACTGCAAAATAATGTACCAGACCAGGACAACCTTCAAGACGTGGCCATGTGTGTTATTTGCCTCAGTCAGCCCCGTAACTGTGTCCTGTTGGACTGTGGACACGTGTGCTGCTGCCACACCTGCTACCAGGCTCTGCCACAGCAATATTGCCCTATTTGTAGACAGAGCATTGTGAGAGTGCTACCTCTATATCAAGTCTGACGTATTTGTGGAATCGGGTCACTTCAGTAGAAGCTTCACGTCTAAATTGCTTAACTTATTAAATTCAAAATTAAATGTGAGTCATGTTGTGAAAACATTTTGTCCATAATGGAGATTTGTTGTGGGAAATATGGGGATATAAATCAAGTCGAAAAAATGTGTAAACTTGTGCAATACAGATGTTTGTTTTGCTCAGTGCTCATGTGCCTTATTTTAGCATTTTCTGCCGAGTGATGGTACTTTAAAGTAAATAGAGTGATTATTTTATAGTGCTTTCCTACCCTACCTGAGCACTCAAAGCACTTTACACAACTTCTCTCATTCACTGGTTCAAGCACTTTTTTGCTGTGATTTTTCTACGTAGGTTCTTTTTACCTAACAGTTACAGTCATTCGTACTCTGATGGATGAATGAGAGGAACTTGGGGTTAGTATCTTGCTCGGGAATATTTGGCATGCAGACTGGAGCAGAGTTCAGACAGTTTAATTTCCATTCTTGTTTGTATCAGAAATTTACTGAAACCCAAATAAATCTAATGTTGAGAAATTTTACCCTTAAAGTGTATTTAAGTGTATTTAACACATATTTGAGAATCCATAGTGTCACTTTTAATGTGTGCATGCACACTCACAGCGTGTACACTCAGACCCAGTTTATTTTGTATTATGTTTGTTTGACTTCTCCTTAATGCAAATATCTTATCAGCTGATCACATGACAGACACTCAATGCATTTAGATGTACATACATGGCCGTACTGCTTGGAGCTGATAGGAAGGCCAAAGTAACTTGTAAAACAACTCCTTAGAACCAAACTATACAGAAGAGCATCTGAATGGACACATCCAACCTTGAAGCAGATGGGCTACAGCAGCAGAAGACCACACTGGGAGCACCTTCTATGAACAAATAACAAGGAAGCAGGAAACAACCAACGCAGGACAAGAGAAGGAAAAAAGACTTAATCTGATGAGTTGTGATTTTTGCTGCGACATTCAGATAGTAGGGTCAGAATTTGGTGTAAACAACATGAAAGCGTGGATCCACCCTGCCTTATATCAGCTACTCAGGCTTCTGCTGATGCTAATAATAATTGTGTGGGGAATATAAATCTGCAGCACCTGCAGGATGCTCTCATATCAGTAGACCAAAATCTCTAAGGAATGTTTCCAGCACCGTGTTGAATCTATGCCATGTAGAATTAAAGTAGCTCTGAAGGCTAAAGGGGATCCAAGTCAGTGCTACAGGAAAACTAAGAGTTATTCCCCTGGAGGCTTTGGTCAACCACATGCTGAATTAAGCCTCCTATAGGAGTTTCCCATTACATATTTCCACTTGATCAAGTCAACTGATTTAAAGCTCTGGGACACACAGGATTAAGCTCAAGTATGTACAGATCGCATCATCTTATATAAGACTTGGTGAGCACCTGCTCATCTTAAACATCAGGAAAGTAGTTTTGTGTTGGCCTGAACAGGCACACATTTCACAGAACTCTAAAGATGGCAGGGGTTCATGTTGGGTTTTCTAAAAACATAAATGCTTTTTGACAGCACCTGGTTTTTGAAAAGTGTATATAGTGAGTTATCAAGCACACTACTTCTGTCACCCCTAACCAGCAGCGTCTGTGACACGCCACCTCCTACCTTTTTCTTTTTTCCCAAGCATTGGCACAGAAAGACAAATGTTAAATAGCGTGTGTTTGAAGTGGAGGAGGACATGTGCAAGATGAAAAGTGCAGCATCAGGCTCAGGTCAAAGAAGAAACAGGGCAGGTGGATCCCATAAATCTTCTTCAGTGGTCATAAGCTGGACAAATACAAAGCTCTCTCAGCAGAATGGCAGCTGTGGTTTAATAGGACCAGACTATTACTGCAACCTCTCAGGGCATGGGGGAAAAAATAACATCTGATCTGTTTAACAGAGGATAGCAAGACTTCAGAGCGAAATTGTTGATAGGAAAACTGTCATTTATAGTATGAAAATATTTTCATTTGCTGCAAGTTGTGCAGAGCTCACCCGCTTGTCAATACATCATTTTTTAATTTCCAGTCATTGCTTCGACCACTAGGTGTCACTCTTTCTTCATTTGAGGTGCTGCCCGAGACGCTGATTTTAGTAGAGGCTTTCCAAGTCAAATGCAATTATTGTACACTGCAAGATCCTGTTTAATCCATTCTGATAGCTGACAAACAATTTAGATCATATTATTGTTCTCTAATTGGCTCTTCTTCATGGGTGTTAATGTCGGTTGGTGGCGATGGTGAGGGTGGTACATGGAGGTGGTTCAGGCAAGTGAAACCCTTTTCAGCATTATCTCAGCTATCATGAATATATATAATCAAACAATCATCTGTCCTGTTGATCCACTACAGGCCAACATTATTTTACTATAAAAATGGATTTCTGTCAAATTTGGTTCAGACTTTCACAGAGGGCAGACGATCCAGCCAAATGAAGTTGACATACGTGGTCTTGAGGGAAATGTCTTCACAGCTGCTTTCAAATTTGGAGCTCAGATGTGTCTCCCACCTAGGAGCAGATGTGATGACTTCTTCTCATCTAACACCTTCATGTCAAATCTTCGGTTCATTCATTAGTGTTTGTGTTTGATTTACAGTGAAGAACCTTACAAGGTAATACAGCACCAGCCTTGCAGTTTGTGGTATGCAACATACCAGTGTTGGGTTTTCTTTGTGGTTCACATTCATCGTTCGTTTGTACAATGAAATGCTTTGGATTTCTCTCAGAAAGCGTTCAGATCACAGCAGATGGAGACAAGTGCTGCATTTAGCACAGTAGAATGTAAAATGGCAAACCTCCAGCTCTGAATACCAAAGTTTTGATAGATCTTTAAAAATCCCAATACACTATGACCTTATGTGGCTGTGCTTCACATAAGAACAGGTAGGGTTGGGGGCTGTTTTAAAAAAAATAAAAAAATCTGTTTTAGTGGTGCCAGCGAGATTTTAGCAGACACTCCAACAGACAGCAGGGGAACGGTAGAGATGCAGTATCTCAGGAGAGAGAGAGAGCCACCACAGCATGCTGTAGTCCCTGATGCCAATTACTGCTGTCACCCATCTGCTTTGGGCATGCAGTGAAACGTGGGATAAGTGACCTATTTTCTGACAGTAGTGTGACTGCAGAACTTCTCCTCACATCAACAAACCGAGTGCTCTCTCCCTGAGAAGAGGAGGACAGGGATGGTATCATAGGAAAATACAAACTGGGCCGATAGAAAACACTGGTTTACTTTAAAGTTTTAGTTTGAGAGGATTACACTGGTTTTTAGAGGGGTAAAAAAAGTGTCATGATATTTTGCCCAGCGATATAGTGATATAGTTTAAAATGCATTAAAGTACTCTAAGAATACTATGAACAAGGGGGCTCATCTCATGCACCAGCAGCCTGAGATAACATCTCAGTCAAAAAGCATCCAACACTGAACACTCAGCTTGACAAAGCGTCCTCCTAATATAAAACTGACTGGCTGTCACCTGAGTCAAGTTAATTTCTGTCTCTGTAGACATCAACCGATATGCAGTTTTCAATGATTTATCAAAGTTGATTGCTACATTATCAGAAACAGAATGCATGTAATTTCCAACTTGACCTCATTCAATTTAATACAATATCAAGACTGATAGTAGACTGTCTGTCTTATGGAAACATTATGTTATTATGTTTGACAATCTTATTTTGCAGCAAAAACAATTTAATAACTGAAGTGAGATCATTTGATCTTCTCTGATAAAACAGATATGGATAAAGTGTAACTTTGCTGTGTGGTGTGAGATTATTACACTATCTTATGCTACATTATACTTCTAATCAAAGAGTTGTTGAATCATTATACGGCTATCGGCCACATTATACCTCTGATTAAAGATTGTGAAACCATTATATAGTTTTAAGTTGCATTCTACTCCTGATTGATTGCAGAGAATCATGGCCTTGCTTTTCTGATTGTAGAAAGACCAACTATACTGCACAGGAAGTCAAGGTCAAGAATGTGAATGCTTAGTTTGGAGGGGGCCAAAGCTATAAGAATTTAAGAAACGGTCAGACACTGCAAGATTTTGCCGGACACCCTCCTGTGCAAATCTCCCATCCGGACGTAATGCTCAAAGTGTTCTATGGAATAAAGAGATTGTTGATTGAGCATTAAACACCGAGTGTTCTTTCTTCAGCCCAAAGATTAAAGAGTTAGGGTATTTAACACTGGTTTTACCAAACTCACTCACATAAGAGTAAAGTACTGCATTCCCATTTTCTTTGGGGTTTTTTATGCTAGCTTTGTTACCTGTAGTTGCTTTTTCCTCAGGTTTAATAAATATTTCTGTGAGAGTCCTGCTGAATATAAATCCCGCAGCAAATTAAACATTATAAAGCCATTTACTGTTCTGTCACATGATCAGCTGCTTGTTAATGCAACCAGCCAATCACATGGCAGGAACTAAATGCATTTAGGTATGTAGACATGGTCAAACTGAGCATCAGAATGGGAAGAAAAATGCTGAACTACTGGAATTTTCCCACACAACCAACTGTGAAGAGGAGCATCTCTGAGCGCACAACACAATTTTCACACTTTATGCAGATGGGCTACAGCGTGAGAAGACCACACACTAGGTGGCGCTCCTGTCAGCTAAGAACTGGAAACTGAGGCTACTTTTCACATAGGCTCACCACAAGACTGGAAAAGATCTCCTGATAGTCTCACTTTCTGCTGCTAAATTTGGATGGCAGGGTCAGAATTTGGCATAAACAACATGAAAGCATTATACCTGCCTTGTATCAAAGGTTGAGGATGCTAGCGGTGATGTAATGTGTGTAATGTTTGGGGGAATATTTTCTTAGCACGCTTTGGGCCCCTTAGTTCCAGCTGAGCATCATTTAATCGTAGTGTCGGTGCTGGCCACGTTCATCTCGTTATGACCACAGTGTACCCATCTTCTAATGACTGCATCCAGCAGGATAACACACCACATCACAAAGCTCAAATCATCTCAAACTGTTTTCTTGAACATGAAAATAATTTTAAAACTGTTAAGATCAGAAATGACGTTGTTGAGAGTAGTAAGAGTG